AAAAAAAGAAAAAAGAAAAAAAATCCCACATGCATACTACCCTTTAGGGCTAAGCCCCGGGTGTTTCGAATGTCTGGCTCCGCCTCTGCCTATAACTACTTCATCAACATCAATGTTTCTAACTTTGGCTTATTTTTATTTCAGGATCATTCTAAGAAAAACAGCCGGACACACCTGATTTCAATCTTAAGGTAATTATTTATTTATTTTTTACTACAAAATATTATAAATAACTTGTCATTTATGGGCGCTTGGGTCAGGAACTGTAGTCAGACACCTGTCAGGTGGACTGATGATGACAGACTATCAGGAAGTCTTCTGATCCTGTTTTTAATAGACAATCATTTAAATTATTTAATCTCTTTCGATGTTTAATGAACCTGTTCTGACTCTTAGAATGTCTTTGAGTTTGGATTACCTGGTAGTGCTGCCACTTGGAGCTTTATTTTGAAAGGTCCTGCCTGTAGCATCTGTGTGATGATTCTCTCAGTTAGTGACAAATGTTTTGGCTCTGGGCTGGGCTTTTGTAATGCTGCAGTCTCACTCCCCTTACCCTTAGACATCTGGAACATCATCGACTGAGATCAGTGTTGTTTTGGTGCACAGGAAAGTTTTCCTCTTCTCTATCTTGTTGTGTTAAACCACTCAATCCTGCAGTCACGAGTAATGTTGCTTCTTCTTTAACTCACTTTATGTGGGTTAAATATTTTAAGAATAGTTGATTGATGTAGCACTTTGTAAACATTAACTAGATTTTATCAGAACCTGTAATTCCAGTTAAAAGCTCAGCAAATATAAATTAATCTTTCTTAATGATGAGCACATCACAATTTCACAACATCCCACATAATTTTTACTTTGTCATTGTGTCATTACCACAATGGCTCTGCTTTTATCAGTTTTTACACAGTGCCACGCATGTGGGGCTGTCAAGTGGTGTTATATTAACGATCCATTCAAAACAACTCTATTACCAGTTTGCATTGTGTGCAGGTCTGTGTAGTAGCAATGTGATTTTCTAGTATGTGTACTGAATAATGCTACTTTAAGGGCTGAATGAATTGGTGAGCTGCCTCTATGTGATGAAGACACTGAAATAATATTAATTAATAAATAATGTTTCGATGGTTTTCATCTTATCTGCTTTGTCACAGATGCTTTGTTCTTTAATTCCTTTAACGCCCGAGCCTTTGCCTCATGTTTGATAACTAAAGAATTCGCCCTAAAACGGGTGGATTAGATTGAAATCTCTGATTGTTCACTCTGAATTATTCTTGGACACTAACAAACGCAAAAAAAAGTTTCATTACATTTGCAAAATTCATATTATTTTTCACTTGAATTATGGTTTCTGTGTGTGGTAGAGTGGTGAAACGTGTGACTCTCTATCTCATTGTGTCAGAGGAACATTTAGGGATTCTGATTTACCTACCTGAGTGACTAAACCAGGTAGTGGAGCACTGCAGTGTAATAGGACAGGACTGTAGATACTAGAGTGGAGCAAATATGACTTTTGCATTTAGGTAAAAGTAATTTACCCAAGGGATTGACTCCAAAATAAAAAAAAATATTTTGATGGAGCATATCGGAAGTAAATCTGTCTGCTTGTTATCGTTTTATTTTGAAATGTTTCCCGGAAGTGGCAGCGCTCATTTTTAGTGGACTTGATTATGCGCTCGGTTAGCAAATGGATCCAGAAAGTCCTCCAAAGTCCGGTTCTGTGGACAGAGCTGAGCTGAACCGACACTGTCAACCACCGGACGTTGACTTAAAGACGGAACTGGAGCCGAGAAACGAAGGTGAGTTTACTCCCCGTTACTGGAAACGGAGTCACTGATGCTGATAAGCTAACGCTAGCATCGCGCTAGGTCCTCTCTGATAGTATGTCACCTCCACTTAGCTCCTCCCACCAGCGCGCAGAGCAGGTGAGGAGACAGGAGAAAAGCTGATCGCCAAAAACCAAACCCTTGACTAAATACGACGAGTTTTTTTTGTAAAAATAAATAAATAAATAAATAAATGATCAACATGCATTAAATTAAAAAATAAAAAAGAATACAAACGGCGACTCGGTTTTTGTAAAGATGTTTTTCTCAGAGGCCAAAGGTCATGCAAACAGCATCTAAACATGTAAACAAATAAAACATTAACAAGACCGTATGAAGCATCTGTAATCAAATAACTGAGTAATAACTAGGGCTGGGTATCGTCACTCATTTCTAGAATTAATTCGTTTCCGATTCACAATCCGATCAATCGATTCGATCCACGATTCCGCGCTGTGTGTTTACGTCTTTGTGCAGAATCCGTGTTTCTGCTCTCATTTACTGTCTTAGCTGTTTGGTGGTTGTTGAAATTTTGTGAGGTTTCACCTGAGATTCTGGCATTTCGGGCAAAATAAATTTATATTAAAAAATCGATTCAGGATTTTAATGAATCGATTTCACGTTATCCAAGCCAGAATCGATTTTAATTGATAAATTGATTATAAAAACCCACCCCTAGTAATAAGCAGGTGAATCACTGAATCCGGACAACAGTTGCCAGTAGCAGCTAGTCCCTGTAGCTGAAGGTGAAGGGCGTGTACTCCTCAGTGTCCGCTCCTCTGGGGTCTCCTGGTGTAGATTCTTTTCTTCCATAAAATATTTCGTCACGCTCAAAGGTCCTGGTGGAGGCTTTTATTCATTTATTTTACTGAAAAAATGTAGTTTGTCACTGAGAAACCAGCACATTCTCTCTCCTTACTTGTTATTTATGGGCGCTTGGGTCAGGAACTGCAGTCAGACACCTGTCAGGTGGACTGATGATGACAGACTATCAGGTTTTTTGATTCTTTATTTAATAGAAAATAATTAAAATTATTTAATCTCTTTCAATGTTTAATGAACCTGTTCTGACTCTTAGAATCTCTTTGAGTTTGGATTACCTGGTAGTGCTGCCACTTGGAGCTTTATTTTGAAAGGCTCTGCCTGTAGCATCTGTGTGATGATTCTCCCAGTTAGTGACAAATGTTTTGGCTCTGGGCCTTTCCAAACTGCACAGAGCTTGCTTTTTTGACTTGGTTAATTTGTTAAATATTTCCTCCTGGTGTTTTGAAGAGTGACACTGAGCACATTTTTGCTTTGCTGTATTCACAAAATAAACTACAACTTTGTTCTAGAACCTGTAATTCCAGTTAATAGCTCAGAAAATATAAATTAATCTTTCCTAATGATGAGCAAAATATGTCCTTCAAAAGCTGGACAGGACATAACAAAAATGTACTTTATGACTAAACACTGCAGGGTGAACTCACTGCTATCCTGTTGTAAAAGACACAATGTTTTACTGATTCATTACCTACTGACATTGTAGGATTGGTTTTGATATTGAAAGATATGAAACCTAAAACATGTCTAAGGACACAGGGGAAGTCTTGAAACATCGGCTTTTTTAGAGACTCTTAAAGGACTGACAAACAACTGACAAAAAGCCTTATAACTCAGAAACTCTTGGAAGTGTTTGTTGTCAATAAATAGAAACCTTGTCACATTTAACCTCTGACCTAAATTTTACATTTCACATCTGCCTTTCTTTTACGTTGACCCCAAAATGTCTTCAATCGTTAAAGAAAGTATTATCAAGACAAAGAGAACAGGCTGCCAAGTTAGTTAGAGACATACAGACAGTTAGATAGAACTAGCTAGGTTCCGCTAAATGTCTATTGCACAGTGATGAGTTCTTATTTAGTGTTTGGTTTGTGCAAACACTACAGCTTAGTTTATAAACACAGTAGTATTTATAAATCAATACCTACTCCTACTGTGTCGTTTTTTCCTTAAAAGTACACATATAGGTGGCCCGACACTGTGAACCACCGGAAGTTGATTTAAAGATGGAACTGGAACCGAGAAAAGAAGGTGAGTTTTATTGCTGCTGCTGGAAACAGATTCGCTGCTGATGATAAGCTAACACTAGCATGACGCTAGCTTCTCTCTGATGGTATGTCACCTCCACTTAGCTCCTCCCACCAGCGCACAGAGCAGGTGAGGAGACAGGAGAAAAGCTGATCAACTGAAAACAAGTCCTGAATAAATACGAGATATATATATATATATGTGTATGTATATGTATATATATATATGTGTGTATGTATATGT